CCCTCCTTTCCATTGGGAGTAAGCCTCCTTTTTGGCAAGGAGACATTCCCGGATGTTTTTAGTGAGCCATGGAGGCTTATATGCTCTCCTGCCCCCTTTGACCCTCCTGGGGATTACCTTCCTCTGGGCTTGGAGGATCGTCTCCTTAAGGAGCGACCGCTCCCCTTGGACACCCAGCTCCCCTCCCCTGAGTCTTCAGCGCTTCCCCAACTATCCTCCTTAGCTCATTGGAGGATAGATAGATAGCTCCTCCTAGTTACATTATTCCTAACAATTTCATATACAAAAAGATGTAAGTAATTGTCCTTGCATTTGTATACCTTGCATTTTAGGGATGTAAAACTGGTCAGGCATATGTAGGCGTTGTGCAAGTTACTGAGGTTGTAAGAGTTGGTGTCCTCGTTACACTGAAGGGTCCCAATCTAGAACATGCAGTTAGTCATGCAGCCTACATTAGCCTGAGGTAAAAGGGGGGTTAAAAACATTTCAATGCAACACTAGGCAGAGCTAACTGTGTATGGTAACTGGCTCAGTACAGAGTTGTAAAGTGACAAGGCACTGAGACAATGATTTAGCATATGGTGCACAACTCCTGTAGTAGGGAATAGTCCAAGGCATAAAAAGTCCTCATTCGTTAGTTGATTTATGGGAGGGATTTAATTCATTCCCTCAGTCTCATCATCCAAGCCATTAATGTGTCTTTGACTGAGACCTAGGTGATAGCGAGGTAGCAAACTTTCTACCCAACTAACAGGGAGATGTTATTCTTAAGGTAAAGGAAAACCTGGAAGAAGGCAGAGAACATATCTACATCATTTGAAAGTTTGCCCTGTATTCTGTTATTCAGTTTTGCAACCTCATGGCCTTGTTGGATTCTTGTCCACTTCAAGGGCAGAAGTTGACAAGGAGGCTGCATTCCTTTTCTTTGGATATGGACCTGTCCACAACTATCCATTATTTCACTGCAAGAAATAACTGCTGTAACCCAAGACTACACCTTATAAAACCCATTTTGAAGATGCCAGCATGCAAGGAGGTAACTCCTCTCTCAAAAACTGTTTTGCATGCAGCCCAGTTTATATCCACATTCTTCAAAACATGCAGACCATTCTGTTGAAGCTTCACAAATAAATCGGATTGACATGAGAAGTCTTTAAATACTTTGGGTTCAAACCACCTCAGAGCTTCTTTTGAATTTAAGACACTCAAGCTATGAGGCTTTGTAACAGGTTAGCCCATCCACCTAAGAGAGAAGTCAGCCAGTCTGGCTGAGGAGCAGCAGCTGAGAGAAGACTACTAATGATGGAGTGGCACACTGGGAATTAAAAACCCAAGAAAGCAGAGCCACAGGAGCAGTGAAAAGCTGGAAGAAGCAATGGTGAACTGAACTATGTAGAAGACCAGACAGTTGTGAAGGTCAGAGCTCCCCATGTCCAGGACAGGACCAACAAGGTTTTGTTTATTTACTTTATTTATTTAGGACTGTTTATTGTGGGGGCCGGCTGATGGGCGGCACAGGAAGCAAAAACCAACCTGGAAAATACTCTAATGCCAAGGCCAGCTGAACAACTGCTCCAGGAGAGCAAGCCTGCAGAGGATATCCTATACTTTGAAATGAGCCCTTGGTTTGTCAGAACCTGGATTTCATGCTCTTTAGGTAAAGCTGAAAAGTAGCTTTGCTTTCCTCCCTTCAGGCAAAGAAGGAAAAACAAGGAACAGCCTTTAAACCTACTTGTTAAACAGTGTTGGAATGGAGGGTGGGCTGAAGACTGAGGAATTTTGGAGGGGTTTAGTTTGCCACGTTGGATACATTTGTTTATTATGCATAGGCATACAGATCTTTGGACTGCACATTTTCAATTAAATGAATAAGTCCTACACACATTAACATGCTATACTAAGGTCCCCTCTATAGGTGCAGGGAAATATGAGATTGGATCTAATGCATGATCTACACAATCACACATCCTGCCATGCCACATATGCATGGCAGGAGGTACAATTGTGGGATCACACATTAGATCCAACTGCACCTTCCTGCCAGTAAAGGGGGAGCCTGATCCCAGGCTACCGCTGCATTGGCAAGAAGCAGGCTCCCATGACTGGAAGTCCCTTTTGCTGAGGAGGCTCCCAACCACAGGGGCCAGGGGCAGCCAGGACACAAAGTCCTGTGCCTGACAGAGCTCTCAGTCCCAGCTGCGCCACACATGCAACCAGGACCAAGAGTCCTGCACATCACTTGCCACAGCTTGGACTCAAAGTCCCATCAGGTCTAGGACTCTTGGTCCCAGCTGTGTGTGGTGCAACCAGGACTGAGAGCCCTATCAGGTGTAAGGATTCTCTGTCCCAGCTATGCCCCATAGCAGCTGGTGCAGAGAGCCCCATCAGCCCTCTCAACCCTAGCAGCTGTGAGGCGCTGTTGTGGTCTCCCAGCTGCAGGGATGCATGGCGCACCCTTGCAGCTAGGAGACTACACTGGCTGTGATCTCCAAGACCCGGAGATGTGTTGTGCTCCACAGCACCTGGGAGATCACAGCATCTGCCATCTCTCCACAGACTGCCGACATGTGCAAATTAAACCTGGATACAAACCAGCTATAAAATTATTACACATTCTCAAGCAATAACTTTATAGCTGGTTGGGCCTTTTTAAGGTTAGTTAATTTGCACGTGGAACCAGTCTAAACTTATTGTGCAGTTAACAAGGTGATTGCACAATAGATAAAACACGTAGAGGGGGCCTAAGTCATGTAAAATAAACCTGAGGTGAATGAACAGCTGGTTTCTGATATGGTGCTATGTGAGAGTTAAGTGGCAAAGAATTCAGATTTATGCTTTTTAGAGCATGCATATGCAACCCTTAAAAAATCATCTTCACGTGTCACAGAAAAACAAATATGCCCATGCCAATAGGGAACTTGAGCAGAACAGCGCTTGGGACAGAACACAGGGAAATAGTCATAGCATCATAGAAGAATCATAGAAGTAGTGTCGGAAGGGACCTTACAGATCTTCAAGTCCGACTCCCTGCCAGGGCAGGAGAAAAAAAAAAACTGGGCTCAAATGATCCCAGCTAGGTAGGCATCAAGCCTCCTCTTAAAGACCCCCAGGGTAGGAGCCAGCACCACTTCCCTTGGAAGTTGGTTCCAGATCCTAGCCCCCCTAACTGTGAAGTAGTTCTTACGGACGTCTAATCTAAACCTACTCTCCAACAACTTGTGGCCATTATTCCTTGTTATGCCAGGGGGCGCTAGGGGAAACAAGGTCTCTCCCAACCCCTTCTGGTCCCCCCTAGTGAGTTTATAGACTGTCACCAGGTCCCCCCCTCAGCCTTCTCTTGTGAAGGCTGAACAGGTTCAGACCCCGCAGTCTCTCATTGTAGGGTCTGCCCTGTAGTCCCCGGATCATGTGGGTGGCCCTTCTCTGGACCCTCTCAATGTTGCCCACATCCCTTATGATAGCGTGCCCCTACTAACAAGGATTCCACTAAATTAGAAAAAAATTCATTGTCATTTCACATAGGTGTACTGATTACTACTTGCTCCCTCCCATAAAGATCCTTTTGCTCAAAATCATTCTTTAAAAGTTATTAAATCCATTTCTCCCCCAATCTTCATCCCTTCCAGGGATTTCCCAAATTCCAAATCATATTTAAACTCATACTAATGCTAAGTTGCTCTTAATGGAACTGAACTAAAAAAGAAATGTACTCTGGATAGTAGGGGTGAACTCAGCAAGAATCAGTTGCTTTTCCAGATTGTTCTCAGTATTTATTAAGTACAAAATTCACCATTACAAATTATCAACATTTCAGCCCCAAACAGCCTCTTTCCAGGATCAAAGCCTTGATAACTTGTATTATGAAAGGCAATATTAAAGAGTCTGATTCTGAGAGAAATTTGCTAAAAATGAAAAATGTTCCTTCTCTTCATTATGAATCTGAATTTTGCAACCACTTCACACTGACCACCCCAAAACTTCAATGATTTACAGTTACACTGACTGTTAATGCCAGATATCAATAATAAGTGATTTTGGGAGTATTTGGATATCATCTCTCCCCAAAATACATGCATACATACATGCATACACAATTCATAACCCAACCAATAATATGCAAGTAAAATACCTCCAACAACATCTCACCTGTACAAGTGGTGGTTTCCAGCGTAGATTCTTCAGTGGAGCAGGAGTAAAATTAAAAGAGCCCGTGGGACGTTTCTTAAGGAGCAGTTTAACACCAGTAGGATTCTCCCGCAACTTTCCCACAAGGTTTTTAAGCTGCCATCCCACCTTTAAAAGAATAAAGCTCACCTGTTATGTGTGTTTCTCCATTAAAAATAAATTAAATTAAAAAAAATAAAAAAACTGAACCCATCCTTATCTTTTTGCCTTATCTTGTTTTAATTGTAAGCCAAGCTGAGCCTTTTCAGGGAGAGGGCAGCATACAAACAAATAAAATCGATAAACAATAAAGGATACAAGACTCAAAGTAACTTTTTTCCTCTTTACTGGGTCTCTTTTTTACAAATATATTAGTTTCAAGTGCCAATAGTTTAGTGATATCAGACTCCAGTCCTTCAAGGATTTATGCATCAGCTCAATATTAAGAATACAGGGAGTCCCACAGACATACCCTAATACCATGTCTATTTAAACCACTGAATTCAGTGGGACTATTCATGTGTAAAGCATGTAAAGTTAAGCACAAATGTAACTGTAAGACCTTCCTATGATAAAGGAGAATCCTGAATGCTCTCTATGATGCAAAGTACTTGACAAAATCATAATTTTTTTTTAATAAAAGGCTGTAGGCATGTTTTCTTAACATCTATACAGGTCTCTTATGCCCTAAATGAAATAGTTTTAATTGGATCATTTATTAAAATATTATAAGGCTAGATTGACAACAAATGCATGATAACAATCAAGGCCCACAAATATTTTAAGACAAAGAATAATTAAATGTTGAAATGCACCTTTTTAATTCCCATTCCATTTAGGATAAAACCACACACTGTCATTCACTTAGAGCTGAGGGAAGAGCATGTTCTAAAACAAACAAGGTTCAGGAAACAATTGGTAGGAGCACTGATGACTTACAACAGTCTGCCGATTAACCTGGATCACTTCATCACCAGCATGAATCTTCTGAGATCGATCAGCAGGAGACTATGGAAAGGAAAAGCAGCAACATATGTTTCAATAGGTTAATACATTGGTGTTATACTCGAGCTTGAAATTTCAGTCTAACAAGATTAACCAAAAATGTAATTAAATTCTGACATTCTTCTATATACACAGAAGCCCCAATTGACTAAGAGACTGGTAGCAAAGCAAACCATTTTTATTCTGGTTTGAACTCCAGGGAGAGTAACAGTGGAGCATATGGTGGGGACTTTGATCACCACAAAAGGGGGACTGGAGAGTATTACAGAAAAGGTCTCTCACCATCCGTTTTAGAGTGTACACACCCTGGTTCAGGAGAGGAGCCATGTATAAAAGAGGTTTCATGAATACTGTACACATAATAGTCCTAAACCCACAGAACGCTCAAGAATGGTGAAGAACCAGGTGAGGAAGCATGTAGGCAAATATTCCTCTGCTAAAATCTAAACACTTCTGGTGCTTGCTATTAATATGATTATACAGCAAAGGTACTGAGTATGCGAGGGTCTGAGGGGCCCTGGCCTAACTCAGAAAGAGGGCTGTCACTAGGGTGGCCATCATAGAGGACAGTCCGGTTGTCTTCTGTCCTCTATTGACATGAAACCCGACGCCTTTATGTTCTCTATTTTTCTCTTGAAGAGAAAAATAGAGGACATAAAGGTGCCGTGTTTCATGTCAACAGAGGAGTAGCAGAAAACCGGAACGTTCTCTACAATGGCCACCCTAGCTGTCACCTGAAATGCGTAAAACTTTCCACATGAACATCATCTTAGGCCCTGCCCCACAAAAATAAATGTCAGCGCCTATGTTATACAGTGACATAAACTTAAGAAAAAAATACATATGGGGCAATTGTGAAATTATTTGGGAATGGGAGATTCTTCCATGCTAAGGAAATCCAATCACTGGAGCTGGGATAAGCATGACTACGGCAGTAAAGTAGTACAGTAAAGTGCCACAAAGAGTTTCTAATCCCATACTATTTTATGTCCTTAATTGAAAACAGAACTACACTGAATTAAAAGGTTTTAGTAGAGAGAAGACAACCATAGAGGAGCTTAAAAATGGGTCAAAGATATATTATGTCTATAACTATGTGTATGTATACCTATACACATTAGGTATTCTTTACCATAGATTAAAAATTAATTCAACTATAACTACATTTAATTCATTTTTCCAATATAGTAAAAACACAGAATCATAGTTTCATAGTTTCTAGGGTCGGAAGGGACCTGAGAAGATCATCTAGTCCAACCCCCTGCCATGGCAGGAAAGAGTACTGGGGTTAAACGACCCCAGCAAGGTGTTCATCTAACCTCTTCTTAAAAACCCCCAGGGTAGGAGCCTGCACCACCTCCCTTGGAAGTTGGTTCCAGACCCTAGC